TCTCGGACCTTCGGTATTCGGTCTCCGGCGCTGGCGAAGAGAATGGGTTGAAATGTCCAGGTCTGCGGCCATGGATCGTCGAGCGTGGAGAAGCACCATTCGGGACATAATTGAGGCCAGCTAGATCAGTCATGATCGCAGCCGTAACAAGTACAAGTAAGTTCTGTAGTCAGTCACTAAATAGTACGCGTAGGAAAGGATATAAGAAGAAACATCGTCACAACTGAAAAAGTCAAACCATTTCAAAAGCACACAAACTTTGCCCTGATGGCTAAAGTGCAGCATGCCTAGAACTTAAAGGTGAACTGCAATGGCGGAAAATCTGACCTTGAACTTAATGACCTCGCCGTATATGGTAGCTTTAGACCACAGTGCTAGTACTATAACTATTCACGAGGTAGGAAGAAAAATAGCAGAAAAGGTCTTTCCTTGATGTGATCGTCAGGTGAAATTCAAAGGACGACAATGATTCAAATGAAGGTAACGAACACCTCTCAGACTCTCAGCAATCAACCGGCGACACACAAACGAAGATGCGTGTCCAGAATCATCGATGAACGCTCACTAATATCGCGAAGATATCCCAGACCATCCAAGAAATAGAAGTGAAGTGGTTTGGGCACGTTTATCGTCATCGAGCTTAGCCTTGCTACCATAGATCTGACACCGGAGGCGTCGAAGAGGTGCCAACTTAAAACTTATCTCGACACGGTTCGCCAAGACATAGATGGGGCTCTTGGGTATCATATTTCCGTCGCTGACCAAGAGAATTAATTAAGCTGTTCGGATCCGCTGCCGTTAACCGTCAGGCGTGGAGAGGTACAATTCGTGACGCCATGGAGACCGACAAAATCACGCATAATCATAGCCGTAGCAAGTACAAGCAATTAAGGGAAGAAACGCTATCACAAGTGAATGAAGGGCTCAGAACAGTAAACAATCTTCGAAGGATAACACTTTCAGAACCTAACGATAAACGACGGTGGCAGAAAAAAATTAGTAAAAGTAAACAGGCAACAAGAAAGAAAATTACCACCACGAAATTAAGGGTGGAACAACGCGATTTGTTCTAACGAAATGTCTGATAGTTCGATATTTAGCAAAAAGTCCAGCGCAGTAAAAAAATAGCGCTCACCGTGTCCCTCGGCAGCCCTGACCAACTCATCCTCTAGAACAAGTGACAAAGTACAGGCACGTTGTTCGATTCGGTCGGCCAGCTTGCTCAAAGTGAATGGAGTGAGAAGTCTGCTTTCAGTGTCAATGTTCGGTACAGCTGAGGTCTGGCGAGTGGAGTCACGCTGTTGTTCTTCAAACAATTCGTCTATCCTACGCCGAGCCTTCGCAACGAGTTGAGTAGCCTGAGCAAAATCTCGGACGGCTACACTTACGTCTATATCTTCAGGGATCTCAAAAAGCCAGGAGTCCGAAGCAGGTATTCCAGGCTTCGACAGCAAACCTTTTGCAGAATCCTCATGGAAGGCTATAGTGTTTGAAGGAGAGGGGAGGACAAGAAGGAAAGGATTTAAAACGCATATATGTAATATAATATAAATTGGATCCGACAAAGCAAAGGGAGTCCTGAATGGTAATTTTCAGCTCGTTAGCCGTCATCAATCAGTAATACCCAATCTCAAGTTTGGAACCACCCAGATTTGAACGTGGGCCTTTTGGTCATTGAGTTTACCACGCACATCCACTCCATCATATGTCAGAGGTCACTATGCAACAACCTAAAATCACTGAAGTACGAGTTTCAAGGCACAACGGGACAAGTACATGCCCTAATTAGATAGATCAGGTGAACACCCCGGTTCTATAATATGAATTATATGCCAATAATTTTGCCCAGTGAGTCCCGAAAGCCGACCCGCCAAATTTATGAAGTAGCAATTCAAGGAAATTCAAAGCAGACGTAAGCAAACGTACGACCAACGATTGGGACTTATTGTTTGTGGGTCCAATTATACAGTAAAGGAATCTATTATAAAAAAACTACATGAGAATCAAACAATAAAGCCCACTGCAAGCCCAATAACTGAATAGGGACGCGGAACAGTTGTCCGCAGTCAGCGCCAGAAACCTGTTCCCCCTTTCAGCGTAGGTGGGTCAAGCTCGGAGACTTAAATAGGTAGATCTTTCGGATGACGATAAAACAACACCATATACCGAACTTCTACGTATAAAACAGAAATATTAGACAGTATTCCTAAAACACTCAAGAAAAACCACATTGCATGCCCTTTCCTGTGAGGGAATATGTTGAAGACTCGGTTACATCCTTTGAGAATGTGGTGGAGATCTGCACGTATCTAAAATTCCCAAAAAGTTTGTCGAAGAGTGAGGTCGGATAGAAGTGTTGGATCGAGTACACGTAGGAGAAGGTTGACGTCCTGAATAAAAAGTTAATCAACGATCTGGAGCACAGGGGCACAATACGCCTAACAATACGCTTGACAAGAGCCTACCAAGAGGAATGAAGGCTGGAAGTGCATCAATCGGCTAGGAGGCGACTTAAAATAAGACGTTTTAGTGTGGCCAATACACCATCTACGACAGTGCTAGCCCGCAATTTCGACTATCGCGAAAGTACATCAAGTTATGGTTAGTTGGTGCGCTAAAAGTAGGAAATCATGTTGGCGTGTCTCCGAGCGTGTGCCGCATAATTATTCAAAATCGGCTATACATGATTGTAATCCGACCATAATTCAAAGTTTTGTCTCAGTAAATATTTCTTAATGAATGAAAATTTGAGTTGACCCAAGTGTGAAAAACTCTAGGCGTTTGGCGGGATT